TCCTGCTGCTTTTGGTTCAATCTGTTTGTATAGAACTGTTTGGGCCTTTAAAAGGACAACAAAGTGTTCTTGCAAACCATTCACAAAATACCAGCTAAAGATAATGAGATGAAATTTACCCAAGATAAAAATAAAATGTAGTTAAATCAGTCATTCATGTCTTGAAACAAAGCTGTAATTCAGTTTTTGACCATTCTTCTGGGAGTACTGTAGCATTTAGTCATTATGAAATAAAGGCAGTTGAGCTGAGAAGTGCACAGCTGGAAGCTTCTTTCTTAATTATTATTCCCTGTTGATGGTTTGGAAAAAAGCAAAACAATTCCAGGTGCATGTCCTTCTACAGTGTGCATGTATATATGTAGAGTTTACATGTCCAGTGGATGGGAGGGCATTAAAGGATTTTATCTGTAATTAAAGTGCTGTAACAGCCACTGAATTCTCTTGCTGTTTCCTAGCTGTAAGAAGCAGTTATAGTTCAAGTCTGGACTACAGGACTTGTCGGACTATAGCAGAGATGACAATTTAATCTCTTAATCCTTCTTACTCTTTAGACTTTCTCAGAAGAAACCTGAGAAGAAATCCATCCCCATAGTGGTGGCTTTCTCCTGGTATGGTGGACTAAATGCTTCTGCTATAGCTGCCTCCAGGTAGGCTCCTCTGTCATCCTCTGGATACCCTTGCAAATGTTCCATTCTTTCCCCCATTGCCAGCTCATTTGTTTTTATAAATGCACTTCACTACTCCCAGAAGTAGTGGTAGTTGAAGTGGAGTTGGTCAGATGCTCTGTTCAGAGCACAGATCTAGCTCATTTGTGGAGGATCCATGAATTATGCAATTACAGTTTCAGGAAAGCAGCCACTAAGTCTTCTTTCCCCTTTGTTTCTCTTGGTACAGTGCACGTGGTGTATGTGCTTGATAACTTGATTGCTTTTTGTACTTTCCTCTGCCCTTCATTCGTATGGCAACTAACTCTCTGACAAATGCACAAGTTTGAATGCTTTTCGTGGCCACTTTTACTTACACTTCAATAACACTTTCTTGCCAGAAACACTGTAGAGATCTATGGTTTTGTCATTGTTCACAACAGAGTGTAGCGCAGCTTTGGAGAAGACATATCTTAGCATCTGCTGAAATGGGAGTGTTGAAGGATTTATAAATTGTACTCTCAAGTATAAAAGTATGCTTGTTGTCTGAGTACTAATACTTGAACTTGGCTGATTTTTATGTTGAAAATGAGGGTGAAACCCTGTCAGAAAACACCTGCATAAAGGCAGATGGGTCTATACTTGTAATTTTAAACTAGTTAATATCACTACAAAGTTTAGCCAAACTTAAGATAACCTTTCAGCTTTGTTTTGCTGAAAGATCTTACATAGGCAGATCTACCTGGCAAACCAAGCTGAACTTTCTAGATCATTCTCAGTTCCTCACATAGGGAAAGGTTAAGCTCTTGAAGTTAATGCTCCAGCCTTTGCTCTATCAGGAACCCGAACTACAATGTTAGGAAGTACGTTGGAAATGACAGTGTTTGGTAAAGGCTGCCACTAGGTTATTCTCTCTTTTGAAGAGGCTGACTTGTACAGATGTAGGGAAATTACTAGTTAGACTTAGAACTGGATCAGCAGTTGTTATATATTATAGAGCTTGCATCCAGAATACACTGAATCTATTAACATCTTGATCCGTGTCTGTTTCATGGCAGTGATTCCTTTGCTGTAACTCTTAGTGGCATTTACTGCTCACATGAGTGATTGCTCTTTCCCAGATGTGTGAAAAAGCATTTAGCACATCTTAGAAAGATTGGAAATACATTAGAGGAGTCCTCCATCTGGCATTCCACACTGGGCCGTTACTAGATGTTTTAAAAGGAAATGGGAAATGCTTGCAAAGAACAAACGCCAGCCTGTCTTTTGGTGGAAGAAGTTTCTCCAGTTGACATACCAGTTAATTTGCATCCTGCAGCATCAGACAATACATTCATATGTTTTCTCTCTCTTCCTTAATATTACTTATCTAAATGCTTATCCTTTAGGCAACCTTACTAAACCTCTTACTCTTAATTCTCTAACATCTTGTTGAGTGAGTTCTGTATCTTAGCTTGGTGTTTAGTAATTTTACTCACTGTTTGGCTTCAGAAACCAGGAGTCCAGGTTTAAATAATCCTTTAAAATATTATAACAATGGCCTATTAGAATTTTTATCTTGTCTTCATTTTTACTTGTTCTGGAGAAGTTGTCTTAATATATTCACTGCATCATTATGATTTACATTCTCCTTTGGGAGACCAGATTTCTCAGCTGCATTTAAATCCTGTAAAGAACCAAGAGAAGCACTGTGGGTTCTAGTAATTGCTTATTCCTGAGTAGCATAAATCTTTTTATAGACAATAATGTAAATTATTAGTTGCTTGTTCAGTTTCAAGTGACAGAAAATGGGTAATCCATGGTGTACAGGACATAATTCTTGTTTTTTTGCTAAATTGATTTTCAGATTTCAGCATAAAACAGAAGTCTCGGATATAATAGAATTAATTATTTTATACTTTTCCATGTTAACTTTTATAATTTCTGTGGGAATCTGTGTGGGCATTTTTCCACCTCTGAGTTGAAGCTCCTTTTTGAGGGGAGCTTTATGAATATATATATATATATATAATCTAAAGGACCTCAGGAAGAGAGGTGCTTTAGTAAGAATCAGTGACTAACACAGTTGATGCACTGACTTTGAATCTTCTGGCAAGGTTCCCATTGAAGTGATTATATGCTTTTCCATTGTCCCTTAGCAGCAGGTAATCCTATCTGCCTTTGCTGAGGCTTCACTAAATTACACAAAAGGATGGAACATATTTTTCCTTTTCATAGTAGATGATGGTTTACAGCTAAGCAGAGCTGGATTCTGAACCTTAACCTGCTG